GTAAAAAGGAATTTAGTTTTTGAGTCTTGAAAACAGAAACCTAAGGGATGGCTTAGTTTGTTGAGTTTTTATAGATAAAAAGTTAATGAAAGGGATTCTGAAAATTATATTGCATACAGTTATAAAAAGCTTTAAAATGGTCTTGAATTAGGGAGGCAGACTTTTTACTCAGGTATAAAGGAGAGTTTTATGACAGTTTGAAACATAAAATGCAGTCCACTTTAGCTGAGGTAGATTCTAAACTCAGTATTTTTAGATTGAGAAAGTAATGTATATGAATGATGGTTTAGATTTTCAAAACTGTAAGATGTCTGTACATCATTTCAGCTTGATAATTCAATTATTTGGTATCTCAACTACCAATATTTCTGTCATCTATAAAGAATAAAATTTCTAGGAATCTGTTTCTGGAAGATTAATCAATTCTATATGGATCAAGAGAAAGGATTAATCACAATAAAAGGAAAACAGCTGGAACTTTACTTTTATAACATGTATATTTAATTAATTACATGATTATAATTAATGTTTGAGAAAAACAATTTTAAAACTTTTTCTTCTGATCACAACTAATCAATTAGCGATGGTGGTTTTAGAACTTAATCAACCAGGAGGTTGATTGTAGGTATTTGATGACTTCCAGGTAAATAAACATCATATCCTGGTGTCTCCATCTAGAATCCTATTCATTAACTGTTGCTCAGGGCATAAATAGGATCCTGGCTATGCATGCCTCAAGTGTATTTAAAACGCTGACATGTGAGTTTCACGCATCAAACTGAATTTCAATATTTTCCGATACTTGGTTTTATATTTCTTTTCCTTTTAGTATATCTAGGGGAAATTTATTTTTGACATATTCTTTCTTTTTTCCATTACTCATTTCAGGATAACTAAGAACAATTAGTATTATCCTATTAGGTTTCATATTTATAGCTCCTTCCCCTTTGAACTCACTTTCTTCAAATTCCCAGTTCTTATGCAGTTGAAGTGTATTGGAGAGCAAAAACACAAATAAATTCACAGCTAGAGGTGTATAGCTGATAGAGGCATATGGAGAAAATCTTCCAAGACACAGAGCTTTAAAACACTTTAGACATAGTACTAAAAGTTGTTTATCATTACAGAATTTCTGAAAAGTAGACCCAGAAAGCAAAGCAAATCATGTCTATATTCTCTTGGTCATTACATACATACTTTTCCTTAATTCTTCTTCCTTTTTAGTTTTCATTTTGACAAAGTTTATTTCTTTTCCCTTAATCCTTCCCTTTTATAATCTTGATTTGAGGAGGGTGGTTTTGTGTGTGTGT